TTCTATTTTTCATCACCTCTCTTGTCCCAGATTCACCAGAGATAATAACTATAGCTCAACCATCTCCATTACACACTCTCTTGGTACTCTGGCATATAAGCTGCATGGACTCATGACTTGGAGTCATAGAAAGCTTCTCACAGTTCCTTCATGCATCTTGGAGTTTCCATCCTCACCTATGAATGGCCTTTTCACCATTTTCAGTACAAAGATAAGTCTGAGAGAGAGTTCAGAAACTACACAGATGCTGAAGAGTTCTGCTTCTTTTACGCCATCCACCTTTAGTAAACCATAAACATCTGGCAACAGACTTTGAAGTTCTCGCTTAAATGATCTTGGATGATTTCTGATCACCTCCATAGGATGTATGGAGGTCAGAACATTGCTGCTCTCTCTTTGACAACCAGAAAAATGCAAAAAAAACAACAACAAACAGTTTCTCCATAGACCTTTTACCAGTTGCCTTTGAGTCAACTTTTTTTCACGGCAACCTCACTGTGTCAGAGTAGAACTGTGCTCCACAGGATTTTCTTTTTGATTCTCTTTTATCGTGTGTGTGTGTGTGTGTGTGTGTGTGTGTGTGTGTGTATTGTTAAGCACTGTAAGTCAGTTCTGACACATAGTGAGAATAGGAGCAGAATGCTTCATACTTCTCCCATGGAGTGGCTGGCAGGCTCAAACCGTGGGCCTTGTGGCTTGTACCAGGATTCTATATAATCTGTAAAATGCCAATTCAGCTTTTTCCAGGTGTACATTTTAGTGACATCAAAGCCATGAATCATTATTGTGCAACCACCATTCATAATCGTTGTCAATTTCCCTGTTGCACCAACACTCAATGCTTTCTAAACAGTGGCTCTCCCCTATTGCCCTCCCTCATAACCCTAATACCCGCTAATCAATTTGATTTCTAAACATTTGCCTATACTTCTTATTTTATATAAGCAAGATCATACAGTATTTGTGCTTTTTGTGCTAGATTTATTTCATTGAGCATAAGGTTGCTGAGGTTCCTTCATGTTCTGTCATAGATTAGGACTCCATTTTTCCTTATGGCCAAGTAGTATGCAATTGTGGGCATGCAGCACCTTGTATTTAGTCTGCCATCCATCATTGGACACTTAGGGCATTTCCACCTTTTGTTTTGGCTGTGGTAAATAGTGCTGCAGTAAACACTGGTGTGTATGTGTCTGTTCACATTGCAGCTCTCAGGCCTCTTGTGGATATACCAAGGAGTAGAATTGTTGCATCTCATGGTATGTCTATGCTTAACTTTTTGAGGAACTTCTAAACTGCTTTCCACAGTGGCTGTACTATTTTGTATTACCACAAACAATGGATAAGGGTTCTAATTTCCCCACATTTGCTATTTTTCATTGATTGGGTTATAGACATTGATCACCAAAACTTTCTTCCAAGGTGCCTCTGAGTAGACTCCAACCTCCTTTAGGTTAACATTTGAATATATTAACTCTTTGCACTACCCAGAGACTCATGTAGGCCTCTTAACAATGTCCTAAAAATGCCTTTCAAAAGCTATCGATGACCCATTGTTTCTGAGCCTCCACCCCCTTTAGGCCTCTGTCTCCCTGTCACAGCAATAGTTCCAGGGTTGCTAAAATTGTTCTTGGAGTCCTGATGTAGCACTGTAAGATCAGAACTGGACTGATAACCACAAGGCTGGCAGTTCAAACCCAACAGTCACTCCTTGGAAACCCAATATGCGGTTGCTCTGAGTCAGAAGTGACTCGACAACATTTAACAACAACAACAACAGAACTTTTCTTACCTTAGTTCACCCAAGATTCAATGCTTTTTTAAGAGACATTTGCTCTCAGAAAACTAGCCTATGGAATGACAGAATAATAGGGAAATAAAGTCCTGGTGTGGTGCTGTGGGCCCATGCACCAGACTGCAAAGTTGTTTGAACTGCAAGGTTGGCAGTTCAAGCTCACCAGCTGCTCCTCGGAAACCCCACACAGGGTCGCCATGGGTCATAGCCAACTCGATGGCCCTCCACAACAACAATGAAATAATTCTGAGGCTTAACCTTTCCAAGAATAAGCAAATTTCTCTATTTTCTTTTCCTCACCTGCTCCGTGTTCTTTCCACCAACATCCCCTCTGCCCCAGATTCATTGGCAGTCAAGGCGGGAGCCAACTGCCTACCAAGACGTCCTCATTAAGATGCAGTCCCTTGTAGGGTTTCCGAGGCTGTAAGCCTTTATGGGAGCAGATAGCCTCATCTTTCTCCCATGGAACAGCTGGTAGTTTTGAACTACTGGCCTTGAGGTTGCAGCCCAAGTCGTAACCACTACACTAGCAGAGCTCCTTGTCTTCAACTACAGTTGCCACAATTGTCCATGTGCCACCAGTCCTAAGCCAATGACCCTTTGGTTTTTAAAGGGTCCCCATGATATTTAGCATAAGATCCAAACTCCTTACATTTTCTGAACTTTTTCTCCATGGCCTACTTCCTGTTTGACCCTACCTCCCCTACCTCTCACTC